TTTAGAAACGGTCCTAAGTTTACGTTCATACTGAAAAAAAGGATGTTTGCGTTTGCTATGTGTGATTATGTCTACGTTTCTTGAGGTGTTCAATAGATAACGCGTATCAGCCGACAGGCTTCAATTCCTTTTTAGCAATCTGAAAGAAATAGAGGTAAACAAGAAAATCTTCCTTTTCAGATGTTTATCATGTCTAGTTCCAGAGGAATAAATTGTTCTGTCATTATATACTGGTTCTCAAACTGTTCATTACTAGGCTACGGACAAAAAAATCTTCATTTGTTAACTGAACACGAGTGGCTACAACCTAAAAAGATTCTATGAGGACTTACTCGATCTAAGAAAATTTGTCATAATACGATGGATTAAATTATCCAGGAAATCGTCCTCTACGTCACTGTAGCGGGACTTGTTCGTCAACACATACTCGGCCATTCGGTTTTCAGTAGTTCGCTTGCTAATGTCAAGCATTAGAGCCATGTCTTTATACGTGAAGTTGTTCTCTAACAAAGATAACTACTGTTCATAAAGGAAAACACAGTTCTTTGAGAGTAGATAGTTTACATTAAAAATTGAATGAAACTTTCAAAAGGGGAACTCACTAAAGATATTATGGATAACCTAAGAGCCATCCGGACCAAAAACGACGTAGAAGGATGGCACAACGGGCTCAACTGACGGGCGCAGGTAGGTTAATTATCTGCTTGTCATTACGCTACGGTTCTTCGGTTTTGTCGCACATTTACTCCTTTCGAGTTCGGATGTTATTTCCATATTTATATGTATTTCCCTCATTTTCTTCTCAGGGAAAAAGTCAGCTTCCCCTGTACATGCTGATCCAGCTGCTTCACGAAGAGAGCCGCTTAACGACTATGCAGACAAACTATGCAGACTCCAGCGACGAACCTACCGGCAGCTTCAAGCAAAGTTCTTCAGCCTGTGGGATCAATATGAGAACGGTGATCGGACAGCGAAGCAGCTGCTGCGAGCCTGCTCCGAACTCTACGGGCCGCGAGATTTCTAGCAATCCGATCGTCGAACGATCTTGTAACCTTTCGGTTCGGTCAAATACAAAAACGGCTCCTGTAGGAGCCACCCAATCTATTAAGGTCATGACCAACGAAAGTTCTCTGTATTTCACCGTTTGACCACATTATTTCTTGTTTCCGGTCGCCCTAGCTCCCACGCACATATAAACTTTCAAAATGGCCGTCGGTCAATTAAAATTCAAAATTTGTCTTGTTTCTAACTTGTTTGCAATGTTCGATAGCAACTAATTTAGACACGACTCAATCTGGGGGCGAACTCGACTTAGTGGGGGTCGAACTCGAAAAGTGTGGGGGCGAACACGGTATGAGGTAGGGGCGAACTCGAAGGGGCGAAAGCGGCGATAGGGGGCAAATTGAACTTCACATGGGGCATATATGGATATTTTAAAACATGTCAACCTTTTGGTCATTTTAAATTTTCAAACTGAAAATGGAAAACGAATTTCTCCTCCTTACTTTTGAAAAAATAGCAGCTGCTGTTCGGAAATCGCAAACTTAGGTCTTCCTCGGCGTCCTGCCTCACTCACTACTGGTGCTTCATACCCACGAAAAGGCTCTTGTTGATACAAGTTTACGTTCAGATGAGAACGAACTTGAATTATTAAGTCAACCGTTTCTAAAGAAATGTCTCTATTCACCGACCTACCTCGTAAAGAACCTCCAGTCTCAAAACAGTATTCTCTAAATCACCTCCACGATTTCCGCTTTCTTGTATATGTTCAATAATATTATTTCCGGGGAGTCCGATAAATGCTGACGGAAGTCCATGACTCTCAACAGTACTGAAGGACAACAAACCACGATGTCTGTGAAGAAAAAAATTCTTTAGGTGGAGACGAGGCACTTTAAAAGCAAGTAAACCTTTTTTTTTGGCTATTTCATCAACTAGAAGTTTTCTTTGCTCAGCCCTAAAGGCAAGATGAGAAACGCTACAAGTCACGCAACTCCAGTCAATATATCTAGTTTATACCAAACTCTGTCTGTAATAATAATAATGATAATAATAATAATAATAATAATAATGATGATGATGATGATAATTCACGATAATAAATCACGGGCGACGAGTAGTGAGGACGTGTGACAAGCAGCTCTCCCGAAGCTTCGAGTTTCATGGTCTAATCGAAAGCAAGCCGAACTTAAAGCACCAGTGCTAGTTCTAAAGGTATCCTTAGATGTCTTGCAATATCCCTTTTTAGGAATAGAGGCGCCTTAAAGCGAATTCTCCTAATTTACCTTTCAACAAATATGCCAAATCAACAGCAACATCGACCAAGACGAACATGGACGAGCCAGATGAATAGCGACCTGCTGGAGTGTAAAACTAAAGTAAAGGACATGACATCGTCTGAAAACCCACCTAGAGAACTTTCTGGGAGAAAGAAAGGTTATATGAAAGTTATGGAGGAGCTGCCTGCCTAGATTCAAGCCTGAATCTATCAAGTCAAAACCTTATTTCTCAAGCTGCTAGCATTGAGAAATCACTCTAAAAAGGCTGCCAGAATATTCGTATAAATGTTGGTCATGAAATGCAAGGATCTATTGGGCAGAATGATCGAGAAGAAACCGTAAATACAGGAAAGAATATAGAAGAAAATTTGCATTTAACTTCAACAACTGAAAGTAACTTGCACATGTCCTCCACCCCTGAAGTCCCAGTGGAATCAAGTCTAAACAACGAAGCGCTAAAGATAGCTCACAAAGCAAAGATCATTTTCTCATCAATTCGCGACGTCCCAGGAGACTATGCAGATCTTTTACTGGACACGCGGATTAAAGATAAACCAACTATTCGCGATCTTAAAAACATCAACGAAGTAATTTCAGAGCTGAAGAGCCAGGAAGCGATATCCCCTATAGCTTACCCGTTCGAGTGCCTGTGGATGGTTAACTGCCTGATGTACTCCGTGTTTGCTGCATTTCTTCTACTAAAAGGATGGAAGAAGGAAACTAATCAGTGACGCACGAGACTTTTCATAGCCTACTTCCACATCTAAGGGAACGCACTGAAGGAATAAAAAAACATACATGTGTGATGATGTAAGAAAGAGAATAAAAATACAAATAAAGTAAAAGGAAAAAACATAGGAACCCGTGTTGCTTTCCCTTTTGCAGAAAAACTCGAAAGAGTGTCGTATATCAATTGTTTCGCACGTGCACGCAGGAAAGGCCATGACATTCAGCGAAAACAATAGCAAATGCAAACGATATTGATATTGTTCTTAAGCGAGAGCGCAAAATTTCTCGTCTGTAAAAGCCGAAGTTGTGGCACATGGGACTTGTAATAATGTCAACCAACAGGCAGCGTGTGACTTTAAAATCTCTTGAAATGAGCAATGTTGATGATAAACAATCAAATTATAGACCAAAGAATGTTTTGTTCCGTACAAAAGTCCTATTTGCTGATTTTAGCAAATCTCTAAAGTAATAAACTACAGAAGAAGGAAACGCTACGATTTTCCTCATCGACCTTGTAAAGGAGGACGGCGAGTAAAACATGTTAAACCGTTCCGGAAACACGACGGATAACCTGTGTTTCCGTTACCGGTTTCGTGACGTTTTCTCGCGTTTACGTTGCTGCGTTTTCAAACATGTCGCCACGTTTCAGAAATACGGAAACATGTGATTTCGTCCTGTGTCTTTTCAAGTCGGATAACTTAGCGGTAACACCATGTGCCTTGGCAAATGATGGAACGTCTTTGAAACCAGCCACAGAATTCGATTCGCGCCTCTAATAAAATGTTGAACCAAAATTCAAAGTTGATCTCGCTCATGTCAGAGAGCACAATGATCCTTCTGCTGATGACCTTTATAACAATATCATTACAGAGGCCGTTGTTTCATCGTTAACAAACATAGACGATAAATTCAGTTTACCTCGTGTAAGTGATTACGCGACGCAGAAAGGAAAAACTGGGGAGACAATGGCAAATGAGTTTCAAGAATGTTCAGGCGTGCCAAGCATGCCAAAGACGCGCATCAGGCCAGCGGAATATTTTGAAATTGGAAAACATCAGACGTGAAAGCTTTTGTAACGTTTCCTTTGAGAAAAAAATATCTGTGAAGACTGTCAGGAAAAAGGTCATATTAGCCAGATACCATCTTTAAGGGGTTGAGATCATTTCCTTGATAATGGCTCATTTGTAGACGCAAGGTTGTCTTAGTTCTGTCGACAGATTATGAGTCGGGTAACAAAACGGCGTTTGAGATTATCGAGTCAAAAATCGTGAAAGGTGAAATAGATCCGTACTTGCCTGACTGCTCCCACGAATGCAAAAACCTTATGGCAGCATTTTCATACTGGTGGCTGAAATGTGGAGATGAACGATCTAATCTTACCCGGCTAAGAACCCTGCGAAACAGATCGGAAAACACTACTGAGGAGAAGTTTCGAGAATTGGTTCCGAAGAATGATCATTTTAAAAACAAGGATCGACAACACCCTTCCGCCGTTCTTGAACCGAGCAAGCAAAACTTGATTTACGAATTGAAGCAAATTGGGTACGTCTGTCAAAACAGAACTTGACAAGTTTACGCAAGAAAATCGCATAGGGATGATCCCATCACCCACATGTATTGCTATTGCAAATTATGGGTGAATTCTTTTCCTGGCATTTGATGCGAAGTTACATACACATTCTACAAGGCTCGATTGCACAGCCTTATTGATAAATTAATCTTACTTATCTTCCACGGAGCAGCTATGATCTAAGAGGAGTCAAGATGCTATTTGTCGGTTAGTGCTGATAACCTCTACATAGAAAACAGTAAAGTATCCAATTTCTAATAGAGAAGTAACATGGATAGAAAAAAAACGGAGAAGCATGAGCAAAATTGATTGGACATGCTTTACTTGCTCCTTACTCCGTCAAAATTTTTTACCGGGTTCTCAAATTTTGCTTTCTTTCTTCGAAAAAACTATTTACCGTTATCTGAAATTGCCGGTGTAAGTTTTCCTGGCACCAGAGATTGTGGAGGATCCTAAGAACCAAACTGTTCATGCTGATTTCCACGCAATCTTTAACTGCGCCGCCAGAGGTCATCTCATGCCGTCTATCACGTGGATGAAGAACGATGACGCACTTGTTGTACACTCTAACCTACGGACTAAAGTAGCTAAGATTTTCCTCGACGACAAGCAAATTCATAGCAAACTGGTAGTAAAGGGTGTAATGAGGGAAGATAATAGAAAATATTACTGCTTTGCAATTAATAGTGGGGAGGAAGAACCATCAAAGCCTGTATTCTTGTCCACAAAGGATCTAAGTGAGACACGTGCTCTATATTTCCTATCTTGGCATTAACTTTTAATATGGATCGACCATTTCTTCTGGGAAGGCGATGAAATCCCTGCAGAAAGTGTTTTAGAACTGCTCAGTTGAGTTAATTTTCAAAATTCCTTGAATACTGGACATTATTGTGTTACAACGAACAGCGCTGCAGAAATAGCTCCGAAATCTGCTTTCCTGTTCATTAAACAGTTAGGTAAGGTTGCATACTGATACTACGTTGTAACTCAGCATTCATTTACCTTGAAGGGCAATCATGTAGCAGAAATCAGTACGAGATTTAACTCTTTCTAAATTGAAGAAAAGCCTCGTTTTTGCCGACCGAGCCATTAATATTTCCTCCTTTATACAAATCCTAGCAGGAAGATAATCAGGTTTCGGTTCGTCATTATTTGAGACGAAACGACCAACAGCACCAAATAATGCGTTTGAAAGATCCATGTGATGTTCAGTCTCACTATTTTTAAATTGTTCTTCTTATTTCAACGAGCGTTTTCAACTACAGCCTCGCCAATAAAGGAACAACAACGTTCTTTTCCGCTGATTACTGTGCTAGGTGTGTGTGGTGGCACAATAACTGCATTCATGAGCGGATGCATTATGGCGTTTTTGTATGGACACACAAGAAGAAGTTATGAGGTAATACTTATTGAGTGCGATCATACTTGATAGCAACTAAAAGTTAACGTGATCAAACAAAACTGTTTTTTCAACTATAATAGTAAATAACTATAATAATAAATAAAATAATTATAATATAAATAAAATTCGCAAGAATGCTCAAAGTGGAGAATAAACTATCCATTTTGTTTTGAACAATTTCAATTGAACATGCTGCTCCCTTCCTTCCCAAGGAATATCGCCTGAAGAAACAAAGGCCTCGCAACTTATTGTTTGTGCTTCTGTTTTCTTTTATCACAAATCTACCCGCGATTTTTTAATTCTGGCTATTGAAGATGTTAAAGCCTATCAAAAGCCGTTTGCAACTTTAATTTCTACCCAAGGCAATTGCATGTTAAAACTTGTTCATTTTTTTTTTAATAATAAGCATGTCATTATTATTGCAAACCTACAATGTTAACATAAGACGACTTTTTCCAGCTAAGGATTTGATTATATAAAGAGTTAGCCACTCGATTTCATAGAGTACGCTTTAGGCGTGCAAACCTTAGAGGCTTACCATCTACAAAAGGTTCATGAATGGCATTTGCCAATTTTAGTTTTGTTGTTTACGCTAAAAACTGCTGCTCAACTTACACTCCTATTGTCACCAGAGTTGCTTTTCCTTTTCATTGAAGTTAGCGTGGGTGAAACATCGGCAAAATATCTGTACTCCGGTTGGTTCCCGTCCGACTCCCGTAAGTTTCCGTGGGATAACAATAGAACTGAAACTTCCAAATACAAAGAAACTTCTTTTTACTCTGAATTCGGCAAGGATATTCTTTAGAAAACAATTAAAAAAATCCATTTTAACTCTGAGTGCGACCTCTATAATTTTTGTTGAATAATAATATTTATAATTATAATTTTTTCTCACTTGCCGTCGTCGAGTTCCCATCAATTTGTAGCAGCAAATTTGTTACTGATAACCACTTTTCTTTTCTCAGAGACAATTCTTGTTGTCACCGAATCGGTTCATGGTGGAAGCCTTGAAAGCTTTTTGAGGTGCAAGGGTGACGGAAGTAACGCATTATTTCCCTCTAAATCAGACAGACAAATGGCCCCATATATATCCTGCCACAATTTATTTCGATTTCCTTATTTATAATCTATGGTGTAACTAATATTCAACCAAACGGATGAAAAATCTTCGGTCGGCGTAGTGACTTGTTCGCTTGTTCATTCCAGTTTATACAAGTTAATGTTACAAGATCATGCACCATTTTCACAGGGTAAAGTTCCATGTAGATGGTCGTCTTTAGAATCTCTGCGAGATCGAGTTTATACATTCAAGAGCAATAATATGTGACAGAAGTAGCATATGAAGGCTGACGTGGGGGAAGGGGGGAGGGGGAGGGGGAAGTGGGCGGGGGGGAGTGGGTGGTTGACAATCCACATGCTTTTGGCCGCTGAGATTTTCGCCATCCCATTGTTCCTTACATTGTTATACCCCCGATGCATACGTAGAATATGTTGGAACGAAAGCGTTTTAGGATTGTTCCACGCCAGGTTTGATCGCACTGTCTGAAAAGCCATCGTCAAAAATATGTAGTGTTCGGTGCCAAAGACTCTCAGAAACTTTCAGCTATAATTGTTGGTTGTCTTTTTTTCCAAATTTTCTTTGTCCCATGCTCATGGCAAGAAAAAACATCTTTCTCTACGAATTTTTACTTGTTATTATTATTATTATTATTCCAGAAAATTCATCACCTATTTCGCGGAAAATAATTGATTCTGATTGCATTCACACGAGACATTCAATGTGAAAAGTTTATTTAGGATGAGTCTAGCATACGCATCCTGATACAATCTTAACATGTGTACCCTAAAACTGAGGGTTCTAGATAATGAACCTGTTCTACGCCAGATACGGAAAACCACTAAAAAATTCATCACCTATTTCGCGGAAAATAATTGATTCTGATTGCATTCACACGAGACATTCAATGTGAAAGGTTTATTTAGGATGAGTCAGTCAGTCTTCTAGCATACGCATCCTGATACAATCTTAACATGTGTACCCTAAAACTGAGGGTTCTAGATAATGAACCTGTTCTACGCCAGATACGGAAAACCACTAAAAAACCACTCTTTAGTGTGACCAAAAATGCGTGGAAACGTATTCATCATCTTATGCAGCAGCACTATACCCCGAGGAAAAGGTAAACTAACCTGGTTGCACTTCTAATAACAAAGAAAAATCAATGATTGTAATGATCTTGTACAGAGATTTGGAATACCAAAATTAAAAAAAAAAACACCAAAGAAGTGATCAAGACTGACCGACCTTACTTAATTTTTTCCGCGTAAAGCTTATTAAATAATCCGAAACTTCCATGATACCACGCGAACCTCTTCAATGTGCGGTCAGAATGCTAATTTTGGACTTATTCTTTCCCATGTCACTCAAACCTCAGCAAGTACATGTATGCTTAACTAAAAGCAAGCCATTAATCAATCCTTTTTGGCTATCAATGTGTTTTTTTCCGCCCATTTCTAGGTGGTCGTTTGGCATACTACTTTGGGAAATGGCAACTTTTGATAGGTCACTAAATATTTGATGAAATAGAAATTTCGATATAAAAGTGACTGCTGGCGATGGGGAAAGGGTCAGGGATGCATACGAATTCACGTTGGTTGAAGAATTTCAAAATACTTTGTTTTTTATACCCTGGGAGAGGTTTATGAAGGAAGGAAAATTAAGCAACTTTTTTGGACATTAATTAAATAGCATGTTCTTCCATAAGTCTTAGTGGATTAAAAGGGATTTCTTTAATAAGTTGAAATATTCTGGGAACAGCATTATCAGGTTTTCTTTGCAATTTTGAGCTCACTGGCTATATGTCAACAGATGTGTCAGAGGGAGAGACAGCTTTAAACTCTATAATCAATTAAGGTCAAGTTACCATTGTTAAGCAAACTCTCTTATTAGTAATACATACATACATACCTACATGCATATATACATACATACATTTATTGAACACATCCCCATCTGGGGCTTTTCAGTGAGCTTATTGGATTACAAAATTAAAATAAATACAATACAATACGAATTGTATATCTTTAAATAAAATATGGTCAGTTTAAAAATTCATCCAAAGGTGATTTTTTAGAGCTCTCTTAAAAGAAACGAGACTATTACGTAATTTAAGGCTTGGATCTAACTTGTTTTAGATATAGAAACTTTTATAATGAAACGTTTTCTGTCCTGTTGCAGTTTTAAAAAGAGGAATGTTTAGTCGTTGAAAGTTTCTAGTTATACGTCCAGATACTCTGCCTCTTGTTACATTCATAAATGTTAAGTTTTCCGGGGCTTGACCTGTCATACATTTAAATGTTAAAGCAGCATCTCGGTAATACAGTTTTGTTTTTACAGGGAGCCAATGTAAGTTTCTAAATACAGGAGAGGTATGGTCATACTTCTTTACGTTGCAGATAATTTGCGCGGCAAAGTTTTGAACGTATTGTAATTTACGAATATTACAGGCTGAGGTGGATTACCATACAGATGAACAGTAATATATTTTTAACGAAAACGAGCGCGTTTATTATTATTTCAAGCAGTTTTTTATCGAAAACGAATCTAATACGGCTTATTTGAGATAATTTCGACATGCAAGACGATGCTACAGTAGAAATATGATTATCAAAAGATAGCGTGGGCTCAAAAATTACTCCAAGGTCTTTGACTGATTGATGCGGTATAATGTCTTTTCCTAGTAGGGATATTTAAAGTCCAGTAATTTCGAAGACATCCCTCGGCTTGCCGCTTTGTTTCACTGATATTCTCTAGTTGGATGTTAGATACGGAGTCAGCTGGTTCATTACTACTCTTTCGCATACCTTAGAGAGTTTGGCAGTAATGAAATTGGTCTGTAAGTATTAGCTTTTTCGTGATCTCCGTTCTTAAGAATTGGACAGACTTCGGCAATTTTCCGAGAAGTTGGAAAAACTCCGCTTGTAAGATAAGCGTTAATGATGGAAGTAATACTAGGGGCAGTAATTGGCAAACTCTCTTTGATTAAGCGAGGTGATATCTTATCAATTCCTGGGGCTTTCTTGTTAGGTATTGAGTTAACAATACCTTTAACCAGAGAATATCGTGGTAAAAGAGAACTGGTCTGCGACAGCATAATTTTTTCGGAGTGCATAACTGAATTTTCTCGCAAGAAGTTGGGTCTTTGCCATCGTAGATCTCCCAACCGAGCTCAAAAACCGGTGAATTAATTTGCAACTGTTTGATCGTCTTTTGTAAAATTTTTAATATTCGCAGGCCTTTTTGGAATGCACGATCTGATTGCTTTCCAAATATTTCCAACATCGTTAGGGTTTCGTTCTATTTGTTCTTCTAA